GAGTAAGATACGACGAATTTCTAACACTGTAAAAAAAAATGTAACTTGTTAAATTCACTTAGAAGACTAGCAAATTTACTGCCCATGCAATCACTACCTTAAAAGTAGTTTTACTAGGTATTTGGTATATTTACTAGCTAATATTAGTAAATCTATAATTAATAAGTAACTTTCACTAGATTTCTTAGTACTTATAATATGACCCCGCTCCACAACTCACCACCTTAGCCAGTAAACGTAAAGATTGCTAATCACGACAAATGCTTTACGAGGCACACTAGTTAAACTCAATAGGTTTTCTTTCAGCGATTTTCATTCTTAAATATCCGAAAATAAGATTTTAAAAAAATAATGGAGCGGTTTCTTCTAGAGAAGACTTGCAATGTCATAAAAATCATCCTGAAATCAATCATCCCCTTTTAAACAGAGAAGTTGATGGTGAGAGTTTTCGTCGTCAATTGAAAATCGATGTTCCCTAGTGTGGACCCCAGGTGCCAAACTGTGAGTGTAATCAAATATGGAAATCCAATCAGTGGCCGCACGTGTGGCTGATGAAATTATGGAATTAAAAAATCCGCCAAATAATATAGACAATTCAATTAATAGATTATATTGCATTCCTATCTCATTGGGGAAGTCATGTCGTAAAAATAAAATAATTAGGTATCGCTTCTCCCGTTTCCTTTTACGTGCAAAGAAAACATCGGTGTAAATCAACACATCAGCATCACAGAATTTTGTAAGATTATTTTATTTTTTCAAACCCACGCTTTACCAGAAGCAAATATTCTTAATGTTTTTATAAGTGTAAAATGAAAGCATGCAAGTCAGCAATTCGACACGACGTGCGTGTAAGCATAATCAATGCACAATCAATGGCCAAAATACTGGAAAATATTATATTCGAAAAGTGTCCCAATTGGCTTTATGGTGTATATATTACAGTAAAATATGTGTGATCATGAGTTTCGTGTATTTACTAAACTGTTTACTAAATGACTGTTTTAAAATACGTGTAATCACTAAATAGGCTAGGAAATCCATGTATTTACTAAAAATTTTAGCCAGTTTTACAGAACAACTACTAAATAGTATATGTTTGTTTTAAAATACCCATTAAGTGTACAAATACTTGTATCAATGCTTTTAAAACAGCACTCTTATATGTACATGTATTTACGATTACTGGGCATTTTCAGAGACAGTACATTTTTTGCACTTAACTTCAGGGTTTTAAATTTTCTGATAACATCGTAGCATAGTGTGAGCACGTAATAAATCATGTAAAGAAAAGTCGTAAGCGGCTTTAGTGTTTTTTCTTTAGATACCTATAAAAATAAATAACTGCATAGTTTTCTCCGGAAGTAGATAATTTTTGAAAAAAAATGAAAGTCTGGAGTTTATTAGTATGCATTTTTTAAGCAACCAATCGTTATTTTTACGCTTTCACATAGGACATCTCTATATAACTTAAATATGTCTAATTATTGGTAATTTTATCTGTTATTTAAAATTTTTTCTTGATATATTCCATACTAGTAATCATTTTGAAAAAGAAGAACTAATACTGGACATTAGAACCACATGCTTGACCACATAAAGTAAAGCAACTCCTCCGTTTGCAGGGGTGTTCTCTATTATTTATCATTATGTACAATGTACAAAACACGCCAAAAGAAATCAGTGTTTTTCTATATTTAAAATTAATTTTTGCATAGGATTTTTTTAAAATGTAAACATAAGTATTTTTCCAAAGATCTCTGTTAATTATATGTTGATGCTTTAGTTTCAGATTGACAATTATCTATGTGGGTTTTCGAGACCAAGTCTTCCAGCAATCTTATGCAATTCCCACGGGTAACAATTCATCCACTTTGTTAGCAGACCTATTCTTGTATTTATATATATGGAGCAAAATTTATTCAAAATCTTGCACATGAGAAGAAGAAACCACTTACTGTGACCTTCAACTTGACATTGAGATAAATCGACGACATAATACCAGTTAACAATGGTTATTTCCATTCATATGTCGACACGACTGACTCAGTGAGCTTGAGATAAAAGATACCACAGAGTATGACACATACCGCAGAGTATGACACATCCGTGTCATATTTAGATATTTCACTGGAAAATACGTTATTGGTAATCTAAGAACAAAGCTTTGTTAAAACGCCAAAACAAAGCAAAATGTAGTTAACGGGGATCATTGTATTTTGCTTTTTTACAATTTGCGTCAAGATAAACGCAGAATGTAATAAAGCAAAATGTAACAATTTAACAGACTTTTTTGCGTTATTCGTAAAAATTTTGCGTTGAGATCAACGATAAATGTAATAAAGCAAAGTATAACACGATTTTTGATTTACATTTTGTGGTGTTACTTCTTGAGATTAAACAATAGGCAAAATGTAAAAAACACATTATTTGGTCATTCAGGGACTAGAGAATAATTTTCAGTTAAGTGGTGGGTAAATAAAATAAACGAAAAGATTAAAAAAAATCTGCTAATTCCTATATTAGATCGGGTTTATAAAATACTCATTTCATTAGCTACGTAATTGAAATCAGTTTAATATTCAATTCATACAGTGTAGGTGTTGCAAATAAGAAAGGTTGATCTCGACCAAAAAAGTAATAACGCAAAATGTAATAGTGTAGGTTTATTACATTTTGCATTGTAATTACATTTCGTGTTGTAACAAAGCTTCGTGGTAAACGTGATGACTTAAATTTTTCAATGGTCAACTCCTCTTACGTATGCAGCCATTAATCACCTGCCTCTCGGGTTTTTTCTATACGCAAAAACAAGTCCTATGTAGGACAATTTCTAAAACGTGGTAATGCATTGACAAACAAGTTGATGAATAAAGAATATCAATGTCCTAGTTTAACGTCACCATTTCGTAAGTTCTGTGGTCGATACATTGACATTGTCAGCAGTTGTTAGACTATTACCTACACACTGAATTGTCGGATAACATAACGACGAGTAGCACACAACGGGTGTGACCGGTCGACATGCTCACTCCTCCTGGCACCTGATACAAACTCTGATGTTTTAGATGTCCGTGTTTGTTCTGCTCCTAATTTGTATTATTGAATGATCTTTTGAGCTTATTTCCGTATATTACATGTGTAAAAAAAAATTAAAAATAAGGACCCTGCAATCAAAGAATCTAAGAATGGAACGATTATTCGACCGTTAACTTTCTGCCTATGACTATATTGGTTTTTTTTTCTTAAATAGAATTGGCAGATTCTATAAGGCACATGTGCAGCTTCCTGAACAATTTGCACCACCTGTTAATAGAGTACCTGCTGTTATTGACGGTCTTGGGTTGAACTTCAGTCAACTTCCTAAATTTATCACCTTGTTTAAGAATGATCATTTTTTTTTAATTGATGGTGAATAAAATTTTAAAAAATATCAAAATATTTAAGAAACATTTTGCACACAGATTTTATAGGCGAGGCATTTAAAAAAAATATATTGTTTAATTAGTACAATATATATAAATAAATAGTTTTACAAAGGTTTTATTTTAGAATATAAAGTGTAATATATGAGGATAACGAACAGTATTCAAGATCAAAAATCCATGAAACAATACATAATACACATGTAAGAGCAAACACGGACCTCCAAAACATCAGGGGAGGGATCAGGAGCCATGGAGAAGTGAGCATTCCCTCCCGACCGGTCACACCCGCCGTGTGCTCCTTGTCATGATCGGCAAAATCCATCGTCTATTCAGTGTATATAAATAAATGGACTAACAATTAGTTTGAACAACGTCAGTCAGCATTTGACTCAATGATAAATTGTATTTGCTGACAAGTTCATTGTATTGACCATAGAACTTACGATTTTTCTTCCATTTTGCTTATAAACGTATACCTGTTAATTTGGCCATTTTTAAAATAATTGTTTGCTTTCCCTCCCCAGACTCAGGGTAACATTATTGAGTCGTTGGGTAGGTGTGAAAATCCTGAAAATGTCGACAAATTTGATGACTGGATAAAAGGAATAAAAAGAAAAAATATCGTGTCCTGAAATGTAAAAATAAGTTTTGATTCGGGCCATTTTTAGTCAGTCGGTCGGGAGAGGGTAACAATACAAGTTTTCAAAGATGCCCTTAGATATTTATTTTTTTTTAATAATCAATAAATATATCTACATTGTGTTGCGATTTATTTGCATGCATATAAGTAATTCTTGAAAATGATGGGTTGGAAATTGTATCTACATATACGGGTAGTTGATCGAATGGGAACTTAACATGATAATGTTTGAAAGAAATAACCAACGCAATCTACTAAATCTTTGTTATAAGTCGGGGGAAATTTAATTAAGTCGGAGCCGAGAAACAATAATTGTATATATGCTCATAAACGGATTTCTGGAAACGCATGCGTCAAAATTAATTCTTTCTTGATTTCCCACGAGTCTTTTATTACGTACGAAAATATCCAGTATTTAAATATTTAATGTATGTACAAAAATTTATTGATATACCCCCTACAAGTCAATCACTTAAATTTCAAATGGTTTTTAAATTTTAAAACAACATTTGAATAAACAAAAGTATTTTGTTCATTTATGAGACAGCATGTGTTATCACCATTTTAACAGTTCACTTTTTTTCCTTTGCAAAGAAATTTCCACGAAAAATCAATGGAATGTTTTTAAAAAAAAAAACATGTATTCGAAAAAGATTAGTATAATATACTTGAAATTCAATGAAATGAAAATTCCTATTTCATCCAAATTAAGTGTTGAAAAACTCGAATCTTACAGGGAAAGAGCAAACTTTAGTTAATTTATTCTCTGTCTTGTCTCTCTATATATATTGAATCAATACAATCTGTAAGCACGCGATCAAAATTTTTATACAATTAAGCATGAAAAAAAATCCTTTTAGTCAGAGTTATGGACCAATTATTGGCATTGTGAAAAAATGAATATTACTGTCCCGACGAGTTTCCATATACCGTTTAACAGTTTAGAGTTACCTCCCATTTCTACTTCCTTTTCCGCTAACTTACTAGAAGCGGTATGTGGTAAACAATCGTTGTACATGTAAATCCGTTTAAATCGCTTAATTTGAGGGAATAAATTTTAAAACAACATTTGAATAAACAAAAGTATTTTGTTCATTTATGAGACAGCATGTGTTATCACCATTTTAACAGTTCTGAACGATAGATGGATGTTGATTTATATCCCCTTTCCACTTGAATGTAAACATTGACAGCGAGTGGCTTGTCATAAAATTTTTAAAAATTTCTTTCGTTGTAGGTTGCATCTGTAGGGCTTGAAAATGGTAAGTGGAGAAAATGGAATATCCTGAGTAACTGTAACAAATTTAAATTCAAAGCTGAAGTATGCATAAGCATTAAAAAGAGGTTCTGTTCATGAGTTAGAAATGGCTAGTCGCCTGTCGGAAGGAGGAAAATTTTTGGTTGTTTTATATGGTTATAATATTAATTATAGTAGTTGCATTTGTGTTACAAGTCTTTGTGGAACAAAGTATATAAATTCTTTAATCATGCTCAAAGGCTGTATTCTACATTTTCAAATCAGGAATTGAGACTATGCACAAAATTTGCTTCAGATAATGATATGCATAGTACATGTTCTAAATAGAATTTATATGTAAGACTCTTAAGGACTTAATTAATAGTTGAATTTATATGCTGGAGTATGTATACGCTGGGTTAGAACATTTTACAAAGCTGTTTATAAAGTATAAGTAAACTACCCCAATATACACTGCTTCTATATTGATTTTTTCTTTTCCAGCCAAAACAGATTCAAGAAATCAAAGATTTTCTATTGACAGCTAGGAGGAAAGATGCCAAATGTAAGTCATATATTTATTCAATAGTTGAAGTGTGCTGAATTGGGTTTCATTTTTCTGCATAAAAATTAATCAAAATTTAGAGTTTTGAATGTCTTAGTAGCAAGAAATGTCTTGAATCCAATTATACTACAGAGTAGGGCTGTATCAATATATCGATATATCAATCAGTGTTTTCCCTACGAACCGACTACCGGCCAAACTGACCGTTTCAATTGACAAAAATGCCGCTTTGAAATAAAAATTTGTTTCAATGTCCACAGAGTCTCTGTGTATAAACCTCAGCCCCTGGCCTGTTACAATTGATCTCTAACCCTTTACTCTGAAATAAAGGGAAAACACTGATCAATATGTATCGATATTCAAGAAAAATATCGTATCGAAAAATAACTTCCAATACGTATCGGACATACCGTTTTTCTTCTAATTCTGTTAAAAAGATGGGAATTTCAATCACTAACAGTCAGGGGTGTGACTGAAATCCATCATTTTTAAAAATGATGATTTCCAGTCATTAAATTGATTTTTAATAATGATTGAAATTCATCTTTTTTTAGAATAATGATGAAAAACAGTCATTTCTATTTTGAAATTTATTTTAGAAATAGAGTTACCTCTGATATTAAAAATAACTGTATTTCATCATTTTTTGTCAAATTGTTAGGTCTGGGCGCACTTAATTATCTCGTTAGTTTTACGGGGCGCACTAAATTATTTTGGTTTCAATTACTTGTCAAGATGTTGCTCTACACAAGGGTCTATGGCAGGATAGTGCACTATATCTAATTACCGTATAGCGGTTTTTTTTGGCGGGTGTAAAATTTGGCGTTTTGCCTACTGAAAGGTACCCCACTAATTTTGGCGTAATTTATTTTAGCGGACACAGGGTTTCATCTCTTTTCCGATTAACACTAAGAATACTAAGTTAACTAATGACTCACTATTTTAGCGATTAAAATTTTAGCGGGCCGCCCTCAAAACGCCAAAATAAGCCAAAATTAGCACCCCGCTAAAATAACCCGCTATACGGTACTGTAGGAAATGGGTTGGAAAAATGGACTTGGGAATGGAAATATGATGAAAAGAAGTCATATTTACAAAAATAAGAAGAACGTGTACATTATATACTTAGAAGAAATGACCATTATCAATCATTTTTAAAAATGATGGAATTCAGTCACACCCCTGACTGACTAAAGATTATATTTTTTTTTGTTGAAATAAAACTGTTCAATAATTATATAATTTGTAAGGAAATAACACAGTTATTTTAATCATTACAAAATACAAAGAGAATTGTATTTGAACATATTGATTTTGCTGTCATTAAAAGTTTTAATTTGAAGTGTTATTTGTAATGACAATGAGACAAGAACTTTAAAATGGGTAATAAAATACTTAATTGTTATGAAATTTATGCATTAAAATGATTTATAAACCTTTTCTGATGGATTTGTTTAGAATCCAATATATTGCATATCGCTTTCAAAAATATTGTATCGTATCGTATCGAAATTTTTGGTTCAGTACACAGCCCTACTATAGAGATGTCTTCTCAGCTTCTTTACACTTCAAGGGAAAGTTTTGAAAATCTAGAAAAATTTTGTTTTGAGTAAAAAAAACCATTGAAGAGCTTTTAAATTAGTTTGTAAAAATTTTGAGAGAGAATTAAGTGAACTCAAATAAATAGTTAATAAAAAAAGAGCATGAAGAGAGAGGGGAAAAAAGAATGCATTAGGCCATAATAACAATATTCCTAGATTCTCATCCCCGCCCGCCCCGATTTTATACCCCCGCCTCGATTTTTTTTATTTCTGTTTTTCTTAGTCTTAATTCTGATCGGGATCGGTATTCATCTACCATTCTGCTTTCGTTTTAAATCCCGCGAAATTCGACATGATTTCGACAGCTGAAACGATGGTAATTGCTGTAATACATGCGTATATATTTTAAACAAGGGTCATTGGTTGAAAAAGATTGGTGACGATGTGAAGTAAGAGATAATTGAACTTTTACTACGACTTCTATTCGGGTATTGTAGATAAAATTACACCGATTGACCAGGGTAATAAAAAAATCTGCAAAATTGAAAAAATAAAAAATATAAAATAAAAGCCGCCCGCCCGCCTCGATTTTTAAAAAAATTCGGATGAGAATCTAGCAATTTATTTATTATGGCCTTACGTACAGTACATATAAGTAATAATTTAGTAATAAAAAGTTTTAAAATATTTCATTTATGATTGACTGTTTTGCCAAGGTACAGTAGTGAGTAGTATTTGTTGTGTAGACAGTTCGTAGATGATGATAGTAAAGCTTCTGACACCTCTTACGTGAGTGTAGTCCTACACCATGAGTATACTGAGCTTTATCTAAGTATCTGATACAAGCTGAAGTTGTTTTTTTTTTGTAAGTTGTTAGTGACTGACATCTTGATCTGTATAACATGCATCTATATAGATGTTTATTGCTGTATGGTGTTTCACTTCCTTCAAGTTGCATTAAATTTACCAGGGGTACATGTACTTGATAGGGGTCACCCACATGGTGACAATTCTATAGTTATCAGTTTGATACCCGTAAAATTTTTAAATGTTATTTCCATTTGTAAAACTATGACAGTTTTAAAATGCCTGTATAGATAGCTTTCAATAGAAACAATTTTAGCAAGACTTGTTTCCCATTTGTCGCCATATTGGAGGTATACATACAAGCCCAAAGCTTTCATCATTCAACCAATGAAACTTGTCATACTGAGCAACTGGGTGAAGATAACATTATTTTTCTTGAGAATTTATGTTAACTCGAGCTTTCATTAATTCGTAATTTTAGTATTTTAAAGATTTGTGCCCTTTTATTTCTACCATACAAGTTGAAATTTGATAGCTCAAAGAGGAAAATTCACTAGCTGGACCTCCAATACAGTGGCCAAAGAAAAATAACTCTTGCTAAATTCAGGCCAATCAAAAACTATCTGTTACTGATCGTTTTTGTAAATCTCAAGTAATTCAAATTACCATAGAGATTACACATCTAATGATGACAATATTTGTATAAATATGAGTTGAGACTGTATTGTAAAGAAATAGAGTAACAAGTTTTTTAGTTTGTAAGATGAAATGATTGAATAAATAAATAAATGGTTTGAAGAAGACTGAAATATAGTGTGTATTCTCAAAAGTAGAAAATGTAGCTCTGGGTCTCTCTGAGATGCCTCTCGCCAACTAGTCTAAGACGGAATGACCTCTATCGTCTGACATTATAAACTTTGTAGTTCTTGAATGCTTGACTAAGCTTTTTTGTTTTTGACTTAAGCTTGGCAACGTTTCTTTAGTATCATGATTTGAAGTTTTAAAGATATGTATGCCGTGTTAAACAGTATTTTTGCACAGCTAAAACCGAGCAAAAATTTCTGGTGTATGATAAGCTATCAAAAATGAAGCATTCTTGCAAATTCGACGAAATTTTATCCAGTATTAACAAAGTACTGGTCGGGAAAAGAACACGATATTCTCATGCATATTTATAAAGGACTGACGTTTATCCTGGATCTGCGCGTGTGCGCGGGAAAAGCATCGCGAGAATCATCAGGTCGAGAACAATATTTTTTGTGACGCCTGTTCAGTAAGGAACACAAATAGACCAATCAGCTCAATGAGTTGTATTTAATGCATTTATGGGTTTCTACATAAAATACTACATGTGTTTTTCGAAAAGGCTAGTCTTTTAAATCGCTCTCGGAAAGACTTGATGCATTATATGTACAATTCATTATTATCTACTAATCCCATGCTCATATTTGCATACAAATGATTAACAATGATGAAAATTAAAGTTTTTCCCACTCCATTGTACAGGTCCGTTTGTTTAGAGTCTCCCCGTGCTGTACTGCTAGTGGACATTTTCGGTTGGGTGAACATTTACAGATCTTTAGTATGGAGTGCATTATGCGCAAAAAATATTTTGTCAAGTACAATGTATATAAAATAATTTAAACTGCTATTTTAAAGTATTTTTACACCCTGAATGGGATATCGTCAATTATCCCTTAGGGTTTTTTTTTTTATATGAACTGCATAACATATGTAGATGAAACTTACATACCATACATCTTGCCTTCTTAGAAATATATAGTTGGGCTAATAAAATAAAATTGGTCTAGGAATTCCAGGCCCCTAAAAACTATTCCAGTTTGAGGACACAACCAAGCATTTCGACGAACACCATTAAGAAAAATTAATTCAGGTACGTAGCATCGTTTTTTTTAAAGTGGGTGGGGGGATAGAACAGTTAGAATAAAAATCGACTAGCTCGAAGAAACCTGACAAGTAAAATAGGTTCCAGTATCTTTCACTACTAAATTTTATTTATTCACCACAACATTACCTTATTGAACTTTAATGACAAACTCCAAATTTCACTTTCGAATTAGCCCGAGCCAATGCAGATAACCTACTTGCAAGATTTTTAATATTATTTTCAAGGGGTCAGAAATACTGTGGTTCATATGTAAAGAATATATTTATATTATTTAGTAGTATTCTGGTTTTGGCATTCGGTATTTTGTGCAGATTTATACATGATAATCTGTGAAATACTTTTTTCTTGTTTTGAACCATTAAGAAATGGAGAATCGAATGTATCTAATAACCATTTTGATTGATCAAATTATATCATTTGTTTGTATTGGTTATTTCATTTTGGCACATTAAGGTTTCCACACTTCTTTATCCATAGTCGCTGACAGCTGTAGAAGTCCACCCAACCGAAAATGTCCATTGAAAAGACAATTGCACGTGATTATTCCTCGGTACAAAAAGCAACCAACTCTGAGGTGCGCTCACGTATTGACAATTCTTAACTCACGTGTTTGTAGTAAAAACGTAGTAGACCATCATGCTTTTCGATTCATTCACGAAATTGGACCATTGTTTGCTGTGAACATGCGAGACCTCGTGATCATGAATATTTCAATAAGAGGCGGTTTTTTATCCGACACGGAGAGAAAATAATTTTTACCAAATAATATTTCATAACTTTTAAAAGTGATGGAGTGGAATTGTCTTATTTGCAGAAAGTATATAACTTATATAACTTGATGAGACACCACATATATTTATTTCTTTTAAAATAAAACACTTATACGGCACATATATCTTTAAGATATGAATAAATCAGTATTAAACATGATTGAGTAACTCTGCAGCACATCTGTAGCACTGTTCAGAAATCTGAATCTATTGGAATAATCCATAAGTCTCTAAGTCATTTAAGATACTTAGTTTAGTGGAATATTTGAGAACATTAGGAACAATTTTCTTTAATGACTGTCATGATACGAATATATGTATAATTTTCAAGGGAAGTATTCCTGATGTGTGAATTGTTAAGATTTTTAACTTTAAAAAAAAGGAGGTTTATTGTACATGATGATAGTAAAGCTTCTGACACCTCTTACGTGAGTGTATCCTACACCATGAGTATACTGAGCTTTATAGAACTATCTGATACTAGCTGATGTCTGTTTACATATTTACGTTACATATATCATACGGCATTATATGTGCAGAAATGAAGTGAAGCTGTATTGTGAGGCAAAATAATTAAAAGTAGGAAAATTTTGCTTTAACTCTCTCAGGGTCTCTTATTACCAACTAGTGTTGGATGCAATAAGGCCATAAAAATTAATTTCTTGGTCTCAGACCCTCCCTCATCTCTTCCAAGGGTGCCTCATTGACCCTTTTTATTGCTAAATCAATAAAATAAAATCAACGAATCACCTCCCTCATCATTTTTTGAGATTTTGTACAATGTAAAAAGCTGCCTCATCATGTTTTGGGGGCAATAAAAGAAAAAAAAATGCTTCCCTCCCTCATATTTCTTGAAAAAAAAAGGGCCTGAGAACCAAGGAATTAACTTTGCATGGCCTAACTTAATGACTTATAATGGCTGATATTATAAACTTTGCAGTTCTTGAATGCTTGTCTAAGCCAGGAAGAATTTCTGTTTTTGATTTTAGCTTTGCAGTGTTTCTTTAGTATCATGACTTAAGTTTAAAATTTTGCATGAAAAGATTCAATTTCAAGCTTCATTTGGGGACTTTTTGAATTAAATTTTAAATTAAGTTATCCTTCCTGGCTGAGGATAGGAGTACAAAAGTTTTAAGGTGTAAATGTATGAGCAATATTGAGTAACTCTGTAGCACATCTGTAGCTTGTTCAGAATCTCCTGTAATAAGCTATAAATGTTTGTTCAAAGCCATCTCATATACTAGTGGATAATTGGAGAAAATCAGATACAGTTTTCGTAATGTTTTCAAAAGGTTCAAGATTTATTGTAGATGATGATAGTAAAGCTTCTGACACCTCTTACGTGAGTGTATCCTACACCATGAGTATACTGAGCTTTATCTAAGTATCTGATACAATGTTCTTAAACCAGAAACTGTTTAACAAGGGGAAATATCGGTACTTTCTGTCATAAAATTTTTTATTTTGCATGTGATAAAAAGTTTCTTTTGATTTTCAGCTGTCAAGATCAAGAAAAACAAAGAGAATGTGAAGTTCAAGGTCAGATGCAGCCGATACCTGTACACCCTGGTCATCCACGACAGAGAAAAGGCTGACAAGCTCCGACAGTCCCTCCCCAGGTAAGTCACTGCCCCCAGGTAAAGACAGGTGTCTGAGGCAAGGGGGTACAACTCTGTATGTCATTTGCTTATGACACTTCTGCAATCCATTTGGAGATTAATTTACAACGTTGCTTTCATTTGGTTAAATGTTAAGCTGTGCAAACTAAAAAAAATCAAATTCCATTGTATTTATTAGTAAAAGTGGAAAAATATAGATCCTGTGGAAAGATTATTCAATAACGACAATCTGTTTTATCTGCTCTCAAGTATCTCTCATCTTCTGTCATGCAACATGCATTGTGCATTAATATTAAAAAAATAAAATCATTCGGTTACTGTTAAATTTAATTGTTGTTTATCTGAAGAGCTGAAACTGAGCAAAATCTACCATTTTTTATTGGAAACTTTTTATTGCTAGAATATTTTAATTTGATAAATGAACTGTAATATTACTTATTAAATATGATCATTAATATTTTCTTTATTATTTCAGGACTTGCTGTAAAAGAACTTAAATAAATGGTGTACATAAATTTGATTTTATTGTTGTGAATTTAATTACAGTGATGCACATTGAAGTGGGAATATTTTATGTTTGAATGTCAGACATAATATTAGGTTTTTCTTGTGAACATCAATTGTTACTAAAATGACATACCCAAATATTTAGAAACAAGAAAGAAATATTTGTTGTTATGCATTAAGATTACCCCTTCTCTGCGGCAAGCATGGCAAGTTTTGCAGAATTGGAGATTTTCTGGAGTTAGGAAAGAGACTTAAAGACCAGGCTTCTCTAAAATAAGTATTGCAATGAATACCGGGTATTTACCCTTATATCATGATAGAATTTATCACTACCTATCATGATATAGATTTATTTAAATACAAAATGTTTATGTAAAATATAGTATTTATGGAATAACCTGTTCTACAGGTATAATTGAATAAACATTTTTTTCTTTCTGAGGAAGGATTGAGGATTGTTTTATGTGACAATCTGCATTTGGAAGGAAACTAATATTCCTTTTAAACAGAAAATTTTGCCACTTCAATGGACTTCACTGTAACATTGAATAATCTGAAATTTGAATTATCTCCGTTAGTTGAAAGGTTCTGTAACATTACATTCTTCCCTAATTTGGTGTAAATCAGCAATTCTTCACAGTTCTAAACAAATTCCTTAAAAATCTGTGACTAGAACACAGGTGCTTGATGTGTTTAACCTTTCTTTTCATAAATAAAAATATCCCATATACTATATTGGGTCAGGAGTCTGAAGTTAAGGGCTGGAACTTTTTATCCATTGATCATTTACTAGAGATGTTAAAGGTAGAGAAAAGTGGATGTTTTGACTAGAGGTTAGTTTTATTGATAACTGTAAACTGCCTGCTGAATATATCCATGCTCTAATGCAGAGCTACCAAGTAAAATCCTTTTTAGATTACCTGAGTCACCCGGGTGACCTATTGCTATCTGTCTTGGTACATTTTCAGCTTCTAAATCACTTAACCAGTTTTGACATGTATCATCCCATGGGTGAACTTTACTAAACCCCCTCCCCCTCCGGTCCTGAGGGGTGGCACTAAAACCACCAAAGAAGATGGGGGAATAAGGCGGGCGAAGTGCCTATAGTGCAACAGATAAATCAATTAAATCCAAATTTTATTTAATATTTCACCTAATATTAAAGGACTCTTTATGTAAAATCTCTACAAATTACAAAAATCTAAAACAGAAAATATTTGCGTATGAAAAAGCTTACACTCACTAAAAAGAACAAAAACGATCATTTTCTAGTACTTTAACAATATTTTTCAATATGAGTGGGTCTTCGCTCCATTTTTTTTGAAAGAGGATCCTAAAAGTTTGCAATAAAATACACATTTTTTGGTTTACAAAAACATGAAGCGAAGACTCGCTATACCCTAAAAGTACACTTTTATGACACAACATACGCATCTTGCCGAGATATACTTCAAGTCCATTAAGTCGCGGGTCCTATCACAAACATGATTTACCGGTAAATGCCCCAAATCACAATGAGTTATGTAGCATAGTGGTTAACGCGTTAGTCTCAAAGCAGTATGTTATTGATATGTTGGATTTTTATTGCTAGGGTTCGAATCCGACTAATACCATCTGTTAATTT